CATCCGGCAGGCAGATGCAACAGCGATAACGTGTGCCAAGGTCAGTTGCTGCTTCGGGGACTTAGCGAAGACACATCCGGCAGGCAGATGCAACAACGAGCTTTGTAGTAGCGTAGAGCTAAGCATTTCAGGAACGTGTTTGTCATGAACTCACGTACAGATAACGTACGTGGTCAGCTCCAACTTGTCATGCACCACAATCGAGCCGAGATAGAACGGATGGGGTCGTGCAAGCATGGATTGCGGTCAATGGAGGTCGGTTTTAAGAAAAATAGTAATGATAGTATGCTTTAGTACGCAATAACTCCCTGTCTAATTAGAGAGCTAAAAATATCCCCAGAAGAAAAACGCAGTTTAGTTGTAGCAAAGCTGTTTCGTGCACTTGCATTTAGATTATATTACGTATATAGCCCATTCTTACAAGTCATCGTTAATTGACGTCCGAATCCACCCATAGTGTCAACCAAGGCATTTCCAAGCAGAATATTCTCTAGGTAGCTTGGGTTCGCTCCATGAAAGCTTCAACACGCATTTTTGGTGTGAATTTTGTATTTAGTAACCAAATATGGTCCCGATTAAGTTTTTATTTTACAAATTTGACCACACTAGGACCAATGCACGAAACAACCTAATGCTATCGATTTAATTCAAAATATCCTATTACTTATAAAACAATGTATTTTTAATATCATTAATCGATGTACTATAATGCTATAGTACTATAATACATGTTCTACAGTATCAAAGCAAATCTAAATTCTAGTCTACCTGGTGTGCCACATTTGCAGCTGTAGTGCCTACTGGATCTCGTAGGTCATGTAAAATATCGCCGTCTGCAACGGATACTCATTCTTGAACGTAAAGGATTACCAGACTCGACAACGTCCGTCAACCTGGTTCATTCCTCGTTTTAAACTCGTCTTGACAAGCCTAAGAAACAACAAACAGCATGTTTCTCCAGACAGCGCTTCTCCTCGCTGGGGTATGTGCAGCCGGCATACTCGACACCGCAGCAGCATTAACTAAGGGCCACGACCTCTCCTCTGTCGCACTCATGGAGACCAGCCAAGGCGCCAACTGGATCTCTACTTCCGGCAACACGACTTCCATTGAATCCATCCTAGGCGCTGGTGGAATGGATACTGTACGTCTCCGCCTTTGGACGGCCGGCGATTACGATCTAGACTATACACTGGCGCTGGCTCAACGCTTCTCGAAAGCGGGATATAAGATCTTCTTGGACTTGCATTTCTCCGACACTTGGGCAGACCCAACGGACCAGGCTATCCCTTCATCATGGGACGATTCGTCGGTCACGACGTTGGCTGCTGATCTGCAAGCATACGTAAAGTCCACACTAAAGTCCTTCACAGACGGTGGTGTCGACCTTGAGATCCTGTCACTGGGCAATGAAATAACCAAGGGATTCCTCTTTCCAATAGGCGAGATCAAAGACGACTTTAGTAACTTTGCTACGTTGTGGAAGGCAGCCCGTCAAGGCGTGACCGACGCAGTTTCGGCCGGTACCAAACAACCAAAGGTGATGATTCATCTCGACAATGGCTGGAAGTATGAGACCATGTCGTGGTTTTTCAAGAGCCTATTTGACGAAGGAACGGTGACTACAGACGACGTGGACGCGTTCGGCTTCTCGTTCTACCCGTACTACAACACGGAGGCGACGATCGACGCTCTTACATCATCCCTAACTCAGCTGGCCAACACGTACAAGAAGCCGCTTTACATTGCAGAGACTGACTGGCCGACGGAATGCACAAAGGTCAAATTGAGTGCGTCCTACCCAGTGAGCGCCAAGGGCCAGAGCGACTGGATTGCTGCCACCATTGACGTACTAACGGGCCTGCCCAACGGTTTGGGCGGTGGTATTTTCTACTGGGAGCCCGCGTATCTGTCCGTGGCGGGACTGGGTAGCTCGTGCGAGTCGGCTCTGCTCTTCAGCGTCAAGTGGGAAGACGGACCCAAGGCGTACGCCACCGCGCTCTCGTCGGTCAACATGTTCAAGTGACCTAAAGGTTGAAGTCGAAGTTGTAAACTGCTTGGTGCGTCAGATGTCCGGAGTTTTATCTTGATTTTTGTAAGCGGAAAGCCCTATTCCCTGAATACAGTTCATCGAGCAGCTACAAGAAAATTGTGGACAAGTTCCGAGTGTATGGATACCCTCATATTGCTCTTGATCACGAGGAGCTCGTAGGTCTCCATCGGTGCAGATTACTGATGGTGTCGTACCAGCTGCAAGGGTGGCATGAGCTTAGAAATCCTATCAGGATGGGGCTTTCATAACCTTTC